AGTCTCCCACCGCCCCAAATCAACCCACCAATCACAGCGCGCCACCGCACACCGAGATGCCATTCGCCGCCAACACCGCCCAACGGGCCCCGGGGGCGTCCAGTGCCCACCCAGTCCCATTCTGTCATGGCGCACCCGAGGACAAGCAGTGCTGCCGGCGCCTTGAGCGCCCAGCAGACCCTCCGACCTCCTTCAAGGTATCGCGAAGGCGATCCAAACGCGCATCATGGCCTCGGTGGCCGTGGCGCCAGGAGCAGATGCCGCGAGGTGCCAGCGATTGGCGCATCACCGACCGGTGTTGAGCAATCCAGGGGCGAAGACAACCCAAATGCGCATCGCGGCCTTGGAGGCCGTGGCCCCAGGAGGAGATGCCGCGGGGTGCCCGCGGTTAGCTCGGCATCGACCCGCGTTGAGCAATCCCGAGACTTGAGCATTGGGGACGCTGGACAACTTCTTAAAGGGGGATTATCGAAGAGAGTGGTGGCGAAGACGGACGTGGGGGCGCCCCCGCAGCAGGTCTGGCGCGTGCTGACTAACTACAGGGCCCTGCCAAGGGTGGTGCCCGATTTGGTGGCATCGGAGGTGTTGCCCGGGGGCCGGAAAGGGAGGACGCTGCTGAGGCAGAAGGCCAGGAATGGCGGCGACTTCTGGGGCGTGGAGGCGGAAGGCGTTTTGGAGATGGAGGAGGTTGAGCTGGCTTCCGGCGCGCTTGAGATTCGGTTCAGAATGGTTGAGCCCAGGGGAGCATTCGCCCAGTATTATGGCCGGTGGTGCGTGGATTCGAATGGGGAATCTGGTCACACTAGCGTGCTGAGGTTTGATGCGGTGGTTTCCTTGAGAGTGGATCTGCCGGATGCTCTTTTTGATTTCGCTGTGAGATCCTGGCTGCCGCGGAACATCGAGGGGCTGAGGGACAGGGCGGAGAAGCAGGAGGCGGTGAAGGTCAGGCCGCCAAATTTCGCGGCGGGGGCTCTTGAAGATGATGTGGTTATTAAGGTGGAGGGACCGAGGGAGGCGCGGGGGCGGGGGGTTGATGTCAGGGTGCAGGATGAGGCTGCTGGGGTGGCCGGGTGTGGGGAGGGGGAATTCGGGAAGCAAAGAATGAAAAGTGAAGAACAAAAAAAACTCCCCCTTGTTGGGGAGGGCGGAAAATGGAAAAGGGGGGTTAGAAGGCGCAGAGTGGGGCGGACGGCCGTCCAGGGGATGCCGGTGGAGTATTTGGGCACCAATTCTGTGCCATTGCCGCCGATGGTGCCGTCAGCGGCGTCGAGCTCGGATGATGGGGAATGGGGGGAGGAGGGGGAGGGATTCCCGACGTTTGAGGCTGTCCCGCGGGGGCCGTCAAGGAGCGAGGTGCACCTGAGGAAACTGGACACGCTGAGCTGCCTGCACCGGAGGGTGGTGGCGATGATCGCGGTGAACGCGCCTAGGCAGGAGCTGTGGCAGGTCGTGACGGACTACAACAACCTGGCGGATATCCTGCCGAATTTGGCAGAGTCGGAAGTGATGGGCTATCCGAAGGGGGCGCCGGCGGGGTACTGCCGGGTGCGGCAGGTGGCGGTGAAGTCGTATCCCGACATGGAGATGAGCGTGGAGAGCGTGCTGGACATGGTTGAGAAGCCGATGGCGGAGATCCAGTTTCGGCAGCGGGAGGGTATGTTTGATGTCCTGCAGGGGAAGTGGATAATATCGGAGGGGGAAAAGCGGGGTGCCGAGCCTGTGGTGCTCAAGTACGCGATGGAAGTAAAGATGGGGATCGACGCCGGTCGGGTGAAGGTGGTTGAGCCGCTGCTGGAGCGCTTTGCGGTGGAGGACATTCAGCACAATCTGGAGGCGATCAAGAACCACGTGGAGGGGCAGATGATGGGCAGGCAGGTGGCTGAGCTGCGGGAGGCGGGGGATGACAGGAGGGCCGACGCGCTGGAGCGGCAGTCGCGGCAGCCACGGCCTAAAATGGCGACCATGGCGGGGAACTTTGAGGTGTTGGCAGAAGAGCTGGGACGCTGCTACGGGGAGAGGCTTGGGGGCTACCTGCCCACGAGGGCCGACCTGAGGCGGGACAACAGGACGGATATCGAGAAGGCGATCACGGCACACGGGGGCCCGGCAGGGGTCGCCGAACGAATGGGCTGGCAGCTGCAGACCAAGAGACGGAAGCCAAGGGGGTACTGGGATGATGCAGACAACATCCTGCAGGAGATCGACGACTTCATAATTGAGAATGACCTGCCCAAGGGAGTGATGCCCAGGAAGATCGACTTTGTGAGGGCTGAGCGGCACGACCTGCGGCGGGCCGTGGAGCGATGGGGGGGTGTCAGCGAGTTGGCGAACAGTCTGGGGCTAGAAGTGGCACCACAGGTGGGGGGCAAGGGGCCTGAAGTTGGTGACAATGGGTTTGATGCTGACAGTGCAGGGCCGAGTAGCGCTGACAGGCCCGAAGGCAGCATTGGGGACTTGCTGGACATGGAGATTGCCAGCCTGCCAAAGGCGGCTGCCAATGGGAGCCAGAAAGGGAAGCAGAATGGCACTGGGAGTGGGAATGGGAGGCGACAAAAGATGAGGATGAATGTAAGGGAGTTGGACCTCGTTGATGGGTGATTGCAACAGCCATGGATTCATGATTTTTTTGGCATCCAACGAGAGGATCGACTGCAGGATTCAACTTAGGTTAGCATAGCCACTCGCGGGTTGGCAAGAGGCAGGACATTCACCCAAGGCGCCGTCCTCAGCTGGCGCGTTGTCCACTGCCATGCTGCCCTGTCGTTGATCGCGGCACTGCTGCTTGTAGGACTGCAATGCACGATGCCCCAATTAGAAGATTCTGTCCATTTGGGCCACGTTTGGGATTTCATGTGGCTGCCTGCAGGCGGGTTAGTACATTGTGGGGGCCTGCATGTAACCAAGAGGCCGGTGCGCATGACGTTCCGCTCTATATTCCAGTATGTTCCTAGTCTTTCGATTCTCCCTGAGGCAATGGTTGCTGGAAGGATCGCCTCCCTTGCCAGGCTGCGTCCTTGTTCAGTGTGTTGGGTGTGTGCCACGCACCATACTCTGTTGAACAACAACGCATTGATTTGTAGCTTAGGCGCATGGACTGCGGCCCTGTCCTTTGTTCTGGATGCTATTGCCAGCTCGTGTGCTTTTATGCGGTCCACACCCCCAGTCTGCCGAGCGAAGAGCCATGGCAATCTGGCAGTCTAAAGCGTCCTTGCAAGCGGACGACGTGCCCTTCATGGGCCCCTTTCATCACCGACCGCGCGACGCCGTATCAGTAGTCCACAAGGAGTCACCAGCAGATACAAATTGAACGCCTCGTTGTACAACGTGTTGAAGGCACAGGAATCGCCAGCCTGCCCCGATACGTATCCCTTTGACGTGCTTGTTTTCGGTTGCACGAGCCGCGACCAGGCGGAGTTGCCACTGCGTTTCATTTTGTCAAGGTCGATGCATTCACCACAGCGCCACATTCGTCCGGACAATTGCAATAATCTCTTGTGGGTCGCGATGATGGTCAAGAAAAGGATGCCGGGCGTGCCGCCCGTTGTCCAGGAGCTGCAATACATACATAGGTATATATAGGTACTAGGTATGTATACGTCTTGACCCCACTGGATACATTTCGAGACCACAACAAACGATGGCGGTGCTGATGGAATCCAGCATTACTGCCTCAACGTTCGGACAAGGTTGCACGCTGCCTCTTGGGCATTCTCTGTATGGCAGGTTCCTTTACATCGTTCTCGTGCTTTGAGGCCAGTCGTTCGCACTCTCTCAAGGTATAAAGGCAGGTAGGCAGCACATGAACGTCACGAGCTGTTCGGGAACAAACAGTGATGATCTTGTTGAGCGTTCCACCCCCTTGTAGGTCCCCACTGTCTCTGTGGATGATCATATTGACGTCATCAATGGATCCACGGGTGGTGGGGTGGGATTGGGCGATGACAGAAATGAACCATTGACGGCTCCAGGCAGCGTGGATAGCAGTACTAAAATACCGCGCAACTACTGAACTAACCAAACCACACCAGTCTGCGCATTCACCCTAGTCCATGCCCTGGCCATTCTCCTCAAACAACCGATCTTTGGGATGCCCTTTTCAGATGTGTTCGTTGACTCTAGTCTAATCCAAACCATAACAGCACTGAAACTACACCAAATTGAATACAATACACTAATCTGGGACTCAGGCGCCTTATTGAGGCCCAAACTACTATGTGCGATTTCACCTTGTCCTGGCAAACATGATTACCAAACGGGCTGAGACTGTGCAACAAAGCGCACAAAGAATACAGTGCACGGAAACCAAAATTAGGCCACTCTGTGCTGAACTACTCTGCTGCCTTTTGGCCACCCGCATCCTCATCCCCGTCCCCATCATCATCTTCCTCATCTCCAAACGACAGAAGTTTTGAATCCCGGCAGCCCCCACCCCTCCTTCTCCACCTCCCTCTCTTCGAAGCACCCGAGCGGGCGCCGCTGCCTGACGATTCCCTTTTTCGAAATGTGTGTTTTTGTCACGCATCTGCCGCTGCTCCATGGAGAAGGCCTGCAGCGCAGGAAAAGTGAATGAGGCAAATCCACTTGATGGCAATCGGCCATCGTTTGACATGTCATCAACCAAACGCTGCCAAGATGATGGAAGCCAGTGGGCTCTACCAGTGGGGACAGAGGGGGCTAGAAAAGATGTGCAAGAACATAGACACCATCTGTCTTGCCTTGGAAGCTCAACACTCCTTGATCACACGCATTTGGGCTGATGCGCCACGGCCCATGCTGCCACCCAAAGAATTGCAGCAACAATCTTGCAGTGCCAATGGCGCCCGATGGACTTGCATATCAATCGATGGATAGGCAGTTTCAGCAATCGATCGATCCTTGATCTTTCTTTCTTTTCCCTTTATCTCTTGAGCCACTTAATCCATCAATTCAACTTGCAAAACGTGATGTCGTTTACATGGCGTTACACCGTATCAAAACATTGAATATGCCATGTGATCAACTCAAACACATCCAGCCCTTCGGCACCTCACCTTCTCGTACCCCTTGCGCAATGTCTCATCGTCCGGCTCGATCTCCAGCGCCCGCTCGTACGCCTCCTTGGCCTCCGAGTGGTAATTGAGGCCCTGCAGCGCCGCTGCCTTGCGCGCCCAGCCCTTCACCCATCTCGGCTTGAGGCGCAGCGCAGCCTCTGCATCTCTCAGGGCCGATGGAAAGTCGCCCGCCTTGGCATGGGCGGCAGACCGGTTGCTGTAGTAAATCTCGTTGCTGGGGGCAGCAATGCAAACCCTTTGATTGCATTGGTGAAAACTCACAAAAAGGATGGTAGCTGCACCCAGGCACTGGTCAAGTGTTTTGGCAGTATGGAGGCAAAATACCAGGGTGAAACCAGCAGGAGCAGATGTAGCACAGCACTGGGCAAAGTAGCGGGGTAAAATTGCTGGGAGTGGATGAGGCGCAACTCTGGGCAAAGTACCGGCACCCTGCTGCATCAAGTGCTGGAGCACTTCTGCGGCCTAGTATGGGACACAGTAGTACGGCCACTGCCATGGCAGGCTAATGAGCTTGCCAGATCAGTGCTGATGAGGCAAAGCACAGGGATATTGCTGATGTCACAGATCCCTTCCTAGACAAGCCGGTTTGCATGAAGGCCCCAAAGCAACACACCTGCCATCCAGCTTTATGCACTCTGTGAACCTCTTTACAGCATCTTCATACCGACCCTCTGAAAATGCCTCATTGCCTGCCTCCTTCTCAGCCAGAGCCCTTGCCTGCAGCCATTAGAATGGAGAATTGATTGAGAAGTATTCACAGAAACACAACATTGGCACGAACCAAGTCATGTTGCAACCCATTGCATAAAAATGAACCCCACTTTGCCTACAAGATGCAAGACTGTGTCAATATTTTCTTTCTCCAATATCGTCCATTGAACACATACATTCAATCGAAAGCCAATCGGAATTCCGTCAATATTTGCATTTGTCAGCAGGTGGCAACACAGTTTCCTTGTGCACAATGATGGGCAGACATCAAAGCGAGACTGAAGAAAACAGAGCACCTCACAGCCGATCAGCACAGAGCCAGCTCTCTCTTGCATTCTTTGCAAGGGTGGTTGATGATGGCCTTGCAGCAGTCAAGCTTTCAAAGCTTTCCCAGCTGTAAATATCTCCATACATTAAAGGGCAGCTTTGCATGCACTGCTGATTCAGGATTCACATGGGTTCTGCAGCATTCCCGTGTGCTATAGCTGCCATTTCAGCACTGGTCACCAGGCCTGAGTGCACGAGCCTGGTTTGGGAGAAACATGAAGGGGGAACGGGATGGCCATGTTTCCAACATATTGTGGGGTCAAAAGAACTGCTTGGCGTGCCTATGCACAGCACCAGCGATACACAAGCCTGAAATACTGGTTCAAGAGTTTAAAGCAGATACCACCCTTTCGGTCCTGGAAAGAACTGCTGCTCCTTGCCAAATCAATGCAGCACATTCTGACCGGCTGTGCCGCTCCTGAATGCACTGGCCAATGTGGGCTACTTCTTCAGTGGCTAAAGTACTGCGCTGAGGCCAAGGTTGCACAAAAGGGGGTTATTGCAGATTGCAGATGCACGACTTGTACTGGCACCGAAATCCGCATTCCAGCACAATGGATGTGGGTAGTTTTACCTTGTCAACAACCTCTGAGCCCAGCTCCTTGGCAAGCTCAGGATTTTCTTCAAGGGCCCGTTGTATGGCTTCCTAAACACAGGCACAAAAGAAAGCTGCGTAAGGTCATGTTCATTGTATTTTGCATACAGCAACTCCGAATCCGAACTGCATGTCACCAAACTCGAAATATCAGTGCGGCAAACAGTGCAATGCAATGTGCAGGCACGCCCTGGACCCTGAGTTCATGTCTTGTTGCAAAACATGTTGTTCATGCAATGGCTATTCCCTGCACATCTCTGCTCATGGGGGCCACTGTGTTGTATCCTGTTGCTATATATGCTTTACGTTGCCGAGTGCTTTCCATCTGCAGTCAAAGGCTTGTGCATCTTCACATCTTTGTTGCTGAGAAGAGAGGGGGGCGGGATTCTCCCACTGTGTGACATTCTCTCCTTGTTGTCATAAGGAATCTTTCATGTCCAATCCCACATCAATTTTATCGCCTCAACAAGCCCCGATTGTGGCCAGCCACAGATTGTGCTGATGGGATTCGCAAGCATCGAGGTTCATTGACACACGTCACACTCGGCGAGCAAACACAACCACAACCACAAATGAAGGTACATTGAAACATAAGAGCAAGAAGAAAACTGGACACTGAAAAGTGATGCAACATTTTCCAATCTAAACCCTAAAAAATACTGGACAAAGCAACAAATTACAAAAAATTCGGCAGAAAAGCTGCCCCTCACCGCCTGGTCCCGATCGTCATCCCCATCCTCCGCCTGCTCCAGCCCCGCCCTGCCCCTCGCCCCCGCCTCCTCCCCCCCGCCTCCCCCGTCGAACGGATTCCGCCTCTTGTCGATCAGATGCGCATACGGCTGCAGAAATTTTGGAACGTGCCGCTCGTACACGATGGGGCTGGGCCCGGAGGCCCCGCCGCCGCCGAAGCGTTGACCTTGGCGTTGACCTTGGCGTTGACTTTCTTCGCGGTCCTGCGGCAGGCCCAGCTCGCCGAACTGGTCGTACGCGGGGGCGCCCGAGGAGCGGTGTTTGCCCATGGTTGGGGACGGGCCGGGCGAGCAGCCGCGGGACCTAAATTGTGTCAGAGGCCGTTCCTAAGGTAAATTAAGCTAAACTAACTCAAGCTGACATGCAACCTAACCTAGCCAGTTCACACCCTCTGCACGATCAGGCAAATTGTCTTCAGCCGACTCTTATACGACTGCACACTACTACACAGCAGCTCATACTATATTTAATATGAATTAATAATGTAATGTTCTAATACGAATGTCGCAATTTTTGGTGAACACCAAACAATTGGAACATTCCAATTGTTGGGGAGTGGGCAGGGACGCCAAATTGTCCCTTGGCCACTGGCGAGGGCGTCCTATATTGTGGCGGGCTGTTTCGATCTTAGGATTAGTTCACATCCATTCCCTCGTGTGGCCAAACAGTTGTCCATGTGAGGAGCCCATGCGATCGCGCAGTGGGACCCCTATACATGGCTGCCGGCCTGACAAATGGTGATGGATTGTCAACAAATGACTTTGATTGCATGATTTAGAGCCTTGTTGCCGATGCCGGCTCTATGATATTGCACCGCTAGTGTAACGCTGTTGAAATCGTGTAACACCGTTTTGAGCAACTCAACGCGATGTGAGCACGGACCTCACAAGCAACTGGAATGCAAATTGTAGACGAGCGCCAGCGCCATTCATAGCGCTACGAGCGGCCACTTCGCTTGCATACAACATGCAGCGGAATTTTTCTAGGCAAGATAAAGTACGTGGCACAGAAGATTGCTTATAAGCACGATGCGTGAAGGACACGAGCTGCTCAATCATTCACGCGCCAGTTCATTGAACAGTCGCTGCGCTTCCCGGCACATAGGCACAGAGGTCTTGACATCACTAGGAAAAAAGGACCAAGTGGCCCTTTTTGCGAAGACATATATATGCATTTCATCAGTGTTTTGCATGGTAAAAACACGGAAATAGCACAAACCCGTAAACAATGTACACGTTTGAACACGTGTTATTTGGACCTTTTTTTCCTAGTGCATAGAGTACTCGGATATCGGGCATCAATCCACTGATTGACTGGCTGACTGATTAACTGATTGATTGATTGACCCAGTGTCAAACTTTCCTAGTGTGCTTTGGACGCAGTCTTGGCCAACTGATCGGAAGTCTTGGGAACCTTTTTGCTTGATCTCCAGTCTGTCGAGGTCCTTGACTCCAGTTCCAGATGTCAGACCACTGACGCTTGCAAACTGCACTGCCGTCTCGCATTCTCAACGACCCCAACCAGAGCATAACAAGCCATCCCTGCACGCTTAAAAAGTCACAAGCGCCTCGCGTCCACCTAGCATCGCTACGCTATGCACAAGCAAAGGATTTGGCTGGACATGAAACCCTCCAAGATTGTGCGCGATTGCGATTCCTGCTGTTGTGCGTAAAATGGAGAGCCTGGCCGGGGAGGGGGAGGGGTGTCTTGTTGTGGGAAAAACGGGCCTGCTATTTATGTTTACGCTATGCTCTTCGCGTTTACGTTTTTGCCCATAGAAACGCAAAATTGCAAAGGGGCTATTTTTGGTTCTGTACATAAGTTTGAAGGAAAACCAGGTTGCACCATGAAAGTCGCGTGCAATGGTCAGTTCCTCGCCCCCTCGCGCATATGCAACATGGTGTCCACCTCGCCCTCAAACACCCTTTCAGGACAAATTAGTACAAGCAAGTACTGCAAAGTACCGAGCGTTATATCGTTTTTCCCAAAAACAGTTTTCTCAGCAAGGGCAACGACGTGGTCGAACAAGAATTCGTTTTCTGCCCTCTCCAGGGGTTCTGGCTGCCGTTCCCTGTACTCCACGAGTCTCCGTGTGTTGTCTTGTGTGCACGGAAGGCTGCATTTACGTTGTGTTTACGTACGAATAGATCAGAATGCTCCTGGAAAATCAGTCTATTTTATGAATAGCGTGGTAAATCATCCCATAAGTTGAGCTGAAAGCAACCAGAATGCTGCTAGCATGCTCCTCTTGGGTTGGGGATTTCCATCAGGTAGTGGAGTTGAACAGCCACTTTGAGACACCTTCCACATGTTAAGTGACAATTGGAGATCATAGAATGCATGGCGATATTGGATATGGCGTTGCATACGCGAAATTAAATCGAAACATCCGGTTCTTTGACCCTGGGAACCCCGATCCACGCAATGTTGTGCTTCCCAGCCATCGGTGACTTAGGCCATTACGACATTCGTCATGACGAATGTCCGAGATCATGAGGTATAATAACCCTTGGTATTCAGATAAAGGTGATTCCAGATGATTTTTAATCAGTCTATTTTGACACTCCTCAATTGCAGTATTCGATGCTGCGTCGACGGTATGCCGTCAAGTGGCCAGCCTTAATGAACTTAATGCGCTGTAAATTTATCAGAGATGAACGGTTTGGCACATCAAGCGCTCAGCTGTATTTCAGTTACCGCGGTGCTACCCGGTTTTCTCTTGGAATCCAAGCCAGCAATTTACAAGCACCTCGGTGCCAGTGTCCTCGCTAGCCAGCAACGTTGCTTACCGCAGCATTCGTGCGATGCCTCCTTTTGCAGAAGCCCGTGGATGCCCGTTTCATCGAATTTCCACGCGGTCCTCGCGCCTACAGAACTTTCTAATCTATTTAGAAAATTGTCGAAACAACGAAATTTGATTTTGCATATCGTCCACAGCTTTAAATCTCCATTACATGGTTCTAAGATTAAACGTCGAGTAATTTATCATATCAATTGGAAACCACATCAGAGCCCTACGTGTAACCACAGCAGTCTTCAAACGATTTGTAGGATTCGAAAACAACTTCACTTCAGAGTGTGCTTGCTGAGAGTCGCCAAATGTACGTGAACCTTGTGTAATGTGTAATCGATAGGTAGACGCGCCAATTGTGAATCAGCGACTTCAGTTTCTGGGTCTTCTGCTGTTTTTCAGAGGATTGAGTGCCGCTTTCGACAATTTGTTCAATACGGCTACACAAACCGACAGCCCCCCACATAACCACAACCTGGCGCCCCCGATCCAGGCTCAGCGCACGAGTGATGGCCCCTCCAGTGGTCTTCACAGTATCAGAAGGGTGGGGTTGCCTCGGCTCTCGGGCTTTAGCCGAAAGATCGGCAACCGTCGCAAAGCACCATCGACAGAGATGGTGCCTAGGTTCGCATACCGCCGTCGATGTATGCTCGAAATGCCAGCCATTTTCCGGCGGCACACCAACATGCCTGGTATCCCAACTGCCTAGAAGGCTCCTGTGGCTAAAGGCTACCCGTGGGGTATTTGTGTGCGGCATAAGCTTTGTGTTTTGCGCAGGTCTTCGATTAGGTGCCTGTCTGCTGCAAGCAGCTGCTCTTTCCAAATAGGCACCAACCTCGCCAAACATGACAATGGAGGGTTTAAGCTCTATCGGACCCCACGTGTCGCTGTGGCGGCTAACTTGCGTCCTGAAATGGCACAGCCGAAGCTCCATTGCAGCGGCGCCTTGAAAGCGGCGTGAACGGCACGCAATGTGTTGCTCGCGGCACGCGCCCGCCACAGCCAACTTCAACGATCTTCTGGCTGCAGCAAAGAGAGGGCACGATAGCATTCTCACAAACTCTCCGCGGTGGTCTCAGCACCCATGGCGATTTCGCCTATGTTGCGGCTCTTCTGAAAAAGCCGTGATTGTGAAATTCGCCAATTTCTGGGTCTCCAATCTGGAGCTGCTGTCCCCATTAGGCCACCACAACCATGGCGACGATCAACGCTCGACCAGTACAGAACTCAGTTTAGTGGTCTCACACTTTTGGGAGGAACGGTTTCGACCTGCTGCCGGGACTATTCTGTGTTGCGCACTGTCAGTCGCGAGGCGACCTGGTCAAGGAGCCCGTTTGGGGGGCTGTTCGGACAGACCTTCAGAAATTTCGACTTTTTGGCCTGAATCGCAACGGTCCAAAATACCGCCATGTGGCCGGCACTTACTCGTTGTCCCCAAAAATTTTATAGTGCATAGTAAATGTGTGGGTAGTGTCTTGGTCCAATTTTGAAGGTGTTCGAATTACCAGTAATTGACCACTGATCTGCCTCCGTCAATTACTGATTTGTAATCCGATGATTAAATGGTGGCATATGAGAATCCCGTTTCGAGGAATGCCATCAACAATATCTTTGGATGGCTGTCATTTTTCTCGATGTTTCACATGCAACTTTCCAGTTCTCATAACTGGAGGTCAGTGGCTGAACACTGATGTGCAGTGAAACTCAATGAGAGCAGTGAATACATATTAAAAAGCCAAGCTAAAGAGATGAAAGTCCGACACACCATGACAGGCGCAGCTGCCATGTTATGCAAGCACCTGTTCATGTGCTGGTTGACTGGTGCACACATTGACCTGATTGAGATGGCAGGAGGACGGCCGGCCAACAATTAGCTTCAATCTTACTAATTTTGGGGATCATGAGTTGGGACTGTGGGGCGGAGCTGTGGGTTGGTGCCGTGGGTCGATGCCAGGGGTCGGTGCTGTGGGGTAGCGTGTTGTGCGTGTGCAAAGTGTGAGTTCAATCCGGCGCTCTGAGTGTGAGTGTTGGTGGGCAAAAAAAGAGGCGCATTCTGGTATTTAAAGAGAGCCCGAGACTGTTCGTGGCTTCTCTTGGTTTGGTTGTAAGACAAGTTGAGTCTTGGCTGCTTGTCCGACCATGCACGGCGAGTGCGTTTGAGCACCGCGTGCACCAAGGTTGCCACAGAGGTCGAACCAAAACGGTTTGACTCGTGCTGCGTTGTGGCCCATCGCTGCGCGTGCATTCGATTGCGACGAGCGGGAACTCGAACCGGGATGGCCAAGGAACTTTAACAGAAGGATAAATAACATGATGGCTTCTACGAATTTTCTGTTAGTTTTCTTCCGATGCGCTCCTGGTCCCAGTCCCTCTGCATCCGTTTCGAATCGGTGGTTTCTCGCAGGTCTCCCGCATTCTGGTTGTCGCTGGCAGCCGCCTTCAAACCTGTCCGGCGCCCATCTCCATGAGGCTCTGGCA